CAATACCCGTAGTCTGAGGGAAATGAACACACACTGATAATAACAGAAAAACATTTCAGTAATGAACCACGCCAATTTAAATAAGACATACAAGCTAGATACTGCAGTGCAAATGTTCATTTGTGCTTCGAATGCGATCGCACAATGGTCATATTAATACATAGAATATAATAAAGCTGGGCGGCCAACAAATCAGTATGCAAATTATTCCGTTGTTTTCAATAGGACACGCAACCTGATATGCACATGTACATTTTTTTGTCAATAGTTGGCATTGGTTTATGGAAATAAACCGAAATTTGCATAATTTGCATTTGCATCACACACAGTAAATATAGTATGATCGCTTCGCTCGTGAAAGTACGGCCGCAGGATACACCGCAGCACTCGTGAAAATAACTTCCATACGCAACGAATGCCACGGGAAGGGTGTGGGGTTCAGTTATTATTACATAAGTTCCATATTTCATTAATTCATGTTAAAGCGCGGCTCCGCAATCCCAGGGATTGTACCTGTGCGTCATGGCGTATGTACTTTGCATGGCCACTCAGTTGTTGATTGACACACAGCTGTTATCATTTGAACCAAAAGTGTTAATTCATTAAGCATCATGCATTACGCTAATATCCGATTTGAAAGGACTTATTCAATTTCGTTCAACGCTCATGGGACCCTCGCACTCTTTTTAAAGCATTTGTCTTACTTGCATCTGTCATTTACCGCCATGATTGCATCATAGAGCTCCTTATTTAGTTCCGTACTTGCAACGAAAATTGTGGTTTGTTTGAATGACATACACATTGTATAGTATCGCACAGTACAACGTGTGCCATAACGTATCTTGTCGGCTAGGCAATAATGACGCTATGCAATGTGGAAAAAGACTCCAACAAATTAAAAAAAAAAAAAAAACTTCGTGATACGGCTGTGTGGCACGGGCATATCCAGTTGCCCGACGCCAAATATACACGAATATATACCTTTTTGTTATGCATGGTTGTCGGCCAATATTCATATATAGTTCAAGGAACGCAACATTTTTTGCGGGACCTTTCAATTTATTTATTTTGAGACACATTTGTATTTGACAAAATAAGAGTCGAGCAAGTTTACAAGTTCTGTAACCGCGAACGTCTTTTTTTGCGCACATACTCAAAGGAGGTTATTGGAATGTTTACGCACAGTCCCTCCCTTTCGTTCACATCTCAGCTCGTGCCATCCGCACTCGCTCGGGCTGGACCACTTCGTGGAGCGCCGACGACGTCCCTAAAGTGACCGGACAAACAGCTCACAGCATATGATTCCTTATTAGCGCCATGATATCACTTACATCATCAACTCCGTATTTATGTAAACATACCTAGATATTAAACAAAAAAATTGGGATTAACACTTTGCATTTGCATCAACCCATAACCGGCAGTCATTTTGAGCAGTCAAAACAAACGTTTTCCCGTAGCTTTTACGCGGAAATCACACTGACATCGTTCCGAATTTGTAAATTGACATTGAAATTGTATTGCAGATATATTCATATTTGTGTACGACAAGAAAATAAAGCACCACAGGCGTTAGGATTGCCAAAATGAGCGATTTTGCGGAGCACCTCGGAGCGATGTTTTATGCTTGAGTGTTATTTGCATAATGAAAAGTGACGGCCAACTTTCCTTTTATATATACGAACCCGCGGTTTGAAGAAAGAACGTGCAAAAACCTGGATATAATTTAGGTCGAGGAACCCCATTGCCCATTAATATGTTCCAAAATAGTGTTACGCCCAAGCAACGCACGTCAGTGTAGAACGTGTGTGAACTGTCCGAATAAATAACTCGTGAACGTTGAGTTGGTGCCACGACAAAACCAGAACCAGATCTTGAACTGGACGACTGTGATACACAGTTTATGTTGAAGTTAGAAGTTCCTCCACAGAATTGTGCATTTGTAAACATGCCGTGCAACTACCATAACGGTACTCCACTGACTGGGTGACTTTCGTCGATATCGGTCGTCATTGAGTTGCACGCTACAACTGCGTTTGTGATGTTGCGTGCTGGTCTTGGATTGAATGAGTCTTGGTTTCCGGTTAAAATGTTGTTCATTTGGCATTGGTAATCCCGATCTGGAACTGAGTAACGTTGCAACATTGCCAGCACAAATCTCCTGGACCCTCGTTGTTGATGGTTGCGGCTCCATAGCAATCGCTGATTTTACTGCGGGTGAATCTTCCGAGTGCCCTTCAGGGTTATAAAACTCAGTTTCCAGGAGGTCAACAAACTTTTAGTTTTCCCAATCTTAGCATTCTAAGTGATGTACACCTGACATGCCAACAATCTCGCTGAACGATTTGAACCGGATTAAAATAGCAGACAATATTTTTTACAAAATAAAAATAGTTCGGTTGCCAATGGAAATACCATTTTCATTTGCATATCGACCGTGAAAATACCGAAAACATTATTACATGGGTGATATGCAAATTAGTTTGTCAAAATAATTGACTGCCTAAAATACCATTACTGTTATTCAGATTTCATTCCACTCGGCAAGTATATTGATGTACCCCAAGAGAAAATATCGTACTTCTAAATATTGTTTATTTTTGCTATGTTTTGAAAAATGATACTTCAGAAGGGACTACTTTGTATTCTCCCAGACCTCATTTGCATATGTGGTGTGGAAATACCGATTTTGATTTCCGGGACAAATCAAAATAAACTGCTGTAAATATGTAATGCTGTTTAATATTCTCATTTTTTAAAATATTGTTCTTTTTTATCGTTTTCTCCTTTTGCTAGCTAATACTTGTACTTTCAAATTGTAGTCATGACTATTGTAAAATATTGCGTCATGCGCCTGCGTTGAGAGTGTTATATAAATGGTATGTAAACAATAGAAATAGTCGCCTATACTATGGGGTAAGGGTGGTGGTAGTGCAATACTCTTTTAATCATTAAAATCAATTATGGGCAGATATGTGTAAGTCACCACATGAGAGTTATGTGTATTTCTCATTAAACCACACAGTTATGACATGTGAGTTTTCTACTACATCATCTTATTTTCAATTCAATATGGCATTATCGCAAACTTTATGTTTAAACCAATATCCGCAAAATAAATGCTCTTTTGCGTATTTCAACGACATTTGATTTCCTGCGCATTTGGGCGCCATGGTCAAATGTTTTCATCATATAGGAAATATCTTCACGGAATTTTGTCATATTAAATTTCAGAAATGTTGACTAAGACCTGTAGTTAATGGAAAAAGATGTTCATGCCACATAATATTTTGAACGAATTCGTCAAAAAGTACAATATGTTGAACAACATATGGCGTTCAAGGTTGTTAAAGCATATTGTCCACTAAAACTACAATAAACAACTACAATCCAATACAATGACAACATTAACCTTGATTCTGGGAAATGATGATATTGGTCAATATGGCACTGGTATGACGATAATTAATGTGAAAATGAATAAGTAACGCCCCAAACATACGATGCATTACATTGAATTGTTGTTGTGTATATCGATGATTCCTGTATAAAAAGGGCATCAGAGAGTGTAACTTCTCATACCTTTGGAAAAAGCTCTCGGTTGCTGTTCATATCGGTAAGTATTGTGCTTTACATATTTTTGTTATTTGTAACATACAATAATGTATATTGCAAAGCCGCTAACGCGTGCGTCAATGTTTACTGGGATGTCCAACTAATTTAAATTTGAGACTAACATCTCTCAATATTTCCTTTGCACTTTGACTAGCGTAGTTCAGTTTTTTTTTCTTTATTCATATGTACGATATTAGCGATACACGATCATACAGAAAATTGTCATATATGAAAACTCTTTCACTTCGTAAATTTTCATCGCTCGCGTCAGTTTATTTTGCATCTTTGCATACAGTGCACTACGCCGAATTAAGAAACAAATCAACTTATACTAAATGTATTCAAGCAAATTATTTATCAAATGTTAATCTTTTAACATGTATATTATTTTCAAGTTATTGAATATTTTAGCAAAAATAAAGATTTTTGCATGTTTTATTATGCAAACCATTCTGGTTATCACCACAGCCCGTCTTGTTTGTTCAAAATAAATTTTCTCTGCAGCCATCATGAACAGAAGTTTTGCAAAAATTTGCGCTCAAATAAGTGTTTATATATTGATGTTCAGATTAATCTCAAACGTACATGCTTTTTTTATTAGCTGTTTTATTTTCCAATAGTGTGCAAAAAGTAGACATATTTTATTTGATTAACAGTAGTCAGTCGTAAATCACATTGTAATTCATTAACTTGTTGCTGAATTCATCCTCCTATATACGTGATGTGATTATTCTATAAGGAATAAGATAAAAACAAATATTACAACATTGGCACACTTATCATTCACATATGTTATTTTCCTTCAGAAATCACAACAATATGCTGTTATTTATTACTTTGCTCGCTTTTGCCGGCGCAACATATGCTCAACATCCCTCCGGAAATCCCAAAGGTGAGAAATGTCATATGTATTTTAATTATTTACTGTGTATGGTCACATGTCATGCAAAGATATTAAAATAATCTTCACCGCAAACTAAACAAATTAAAAAACAGCATCGCGTTATTTATTTATTTATTTATTTATTTATTTATTTATTTATTTATTTATTTATTTATTTATTTATTTATTTATTTATTTATTTATTTATTTATTTATTTATTTATTTATTTATTTATTTATTTATTTATTTATTTATTTGCACCATGTTATGCAGCCATTTTGGCTTTTGTATTGGAATTACAAAACAAGAAAACACGCTGTGATGTTCACGATGTGATTGTCATGTTTTTTTCCTGT